CATTAATTGATAATGATTTGAGATTATTCCAACAAGTACATAATCTGGAACGTGCCTTTATATTGCATTGATTAATAGTGGTTTGAGATTTTTTCAAATGAGTGATTTGACATATTAAACTCGCCTATTTCTGAAAATGGAAGCTTCGAAGTGGAATATGCAGATTTTGGATTAAGCTTTGTTTCGTAATGTCTTTATGGGTGTTTATTCTCTAAAATGCAACTATATTTCAAAGTAATCAATCGAAAATGGCAGGTCAGGATAAAACGATGGTACAGGTATACGTTTATATCATTAGTAGGAAGGAGATTGTATCCATTCTACTATATCGTTTAGTTTAATGCTCAGTTGTTCTTTTCAACTAAAAGTTGTGCTTAAGTGTTGTGATTGGCCTGAGAAATGTATGTCTTTGCAATAACTGGCAATGATTGTGAGTTTTCGTTTAATGCTGAAAAGTCCATTTATTTAGCAGTAATCCAATGCTTGAATTTTGTTTTGAAGTTTAAATTAGAAAAACTTGTTAGAAAATAGGCATGCCATACATTAGTGTTGTGGGGGGTTTGATTGATGTCTAAGGGTTTGAGATTTTCTAGATGGTTATTGTGGGAGTTAGCGAGGTATTCATATGCGGGATTTTCCGTTGTTTGACTATTTCTCGTCTTTTTCCTTATCTCTTTTTCTATTTTTGGGTTTTGTGTGCTACCTTCAGCTACTAGGTCTTCATTTGTGAGCCATCTATACTTTTCTTATTCAACGCATAAAAATAATCTATACTCGATTGCATAGTAGTTACTAAGAGGTACATTTAAACCAATAGAGTGCTTTTAAGTTTTATTAGTTGTTGGTTTCAATATTTACTTATATTGGTTGTTTATGTAATTTTCTTTGTAACATTTTGTCATTATACAACTAACTACTATGGCTACTTAGTTGTATAAGTGGGGGTTGGGCATGATAGTTTTCAGAAGCATCAATACTTGAAGGCTATTATAATGACCAAATCTTAAAGTTATGGATTTCCTTTAACTTGCTTGGAGCATTTCCGGTATGCTTCAATTGCGCTCTCTGTGTAGTTGACTCTTAGTCAAATAAAAATCTTGCCGATTTGTGCTTCATTGTAGCTAAATTTAGGGTTCTACTGCCTACTTTAAAGCTTTCGGTTTAGTTGTGACTCCAAGGTCATCAGGGGTTCGCCCTGTGGATGTTCATACATAAGTGGTTTATACTAACTCTCCGTGAGTTCAATCTTATTATTCTTCCGACAATTATCTATTTTTCGTTTAGAAATAGTATGAACATTATATCATTTGACACAATGCATTGTTTGGTTACTTTATTATTATTCAAGTGGAATTAATCTAGCTGATTGTCATTCATGTAGTTTACTGGTATGAAGCTACTCCTCTTTGAATTACAGAAATACGTACAAACAGTTATTTGAAGAAAACCCCTTTCCTCGAGCTCATCCCTTTTTGCTCCTCTGCAAGTGGTTTTCTTATTTTTTAGCTGACCTTCATGAATGTATATGCTAAGGTTGCTTTTCTAATCTGCAAACTTTTGAGGGTTTGAGGAGAAGATTGGTATGCCATCAACCTTTAACTTCTATCATATCAATGCCTAATGTTCTCGCAATCAATTTTCGACTGCTTCAACTTTTAGCAAATACACACTTGCATATGTTTACGTGGGTGTCTTTTGCATGATGTTATTTCCAAGAATGAGAAATTTTTTAGTTCTCTTTTTGATTTGGAAATCTTTTTGCTACTGATTCTTAGGTGTGGGTTGAGCATAGAGATCTTTAAGTCTGCATGCAACTTTTTCTTACCGGGTTGTGAACATTTTTGCTTATATTCCAGGCCAACTTAGGTAGCTATATTCAGTGGATTTGGTGTGGATCTAGAGAATAATGGATGTAATTTATGTTGTTGTAAATATATCCTCTACGTAGTACTTATATAGTTCCATTAAATTATTAGATTAGAGAATAAACAAGTGAAAACTCAAGGCAGTTGGTGAAATTCTTTATTTGGATGTTGTAATTATTAGAGACCATCCTCCTTTTCACATTGCAATTCTTTATCAGTTAAGACAAGTTTATTTGAATGAAGACAAATTAATGTGTATTTTTTTTACCATTCTCACCACTTTATCTCTTAGCAGAGGCTGCTATCCAGAGTGTGCGTTCCTTTTTCCAATCTATGTGGATTCCCACCTAGGCCATCACTACACGAAAGTACTGGCAACATTGATGTTGATGTTGTTATTCTTAAAAATTGTCTGTGTTTGTCACATCTTCTAATCACTCCAAAAGAAAACACGTTGTCGTAGCACCATTGCTCCACAACGTTCCTCAGTTTTATTGTCATTCCCTTTTTTCTTGCGAATGCTCAGTATGGTGGGAAAATAAGACAAACCAGAAGGACATAGATAGTATGTTTCCTTCTTTTTAAGTGTGTTTCACGCCTGTATATTTTGCAAATAGGCTACTTTTGGATTCTCACCAACATTTTAGTCTTCATCTTAATTTGAATAATCAAATTTGTATTTCTTTTGGCTTCCAAATTTTAATATTTCTTCTAATTATTTTTGAAATTATAAGGGGTATGGATTACTTCTGGAAATCTCTTATTCAATTCGAATTGAAGTGTTGTCCTCGCCTGTCTGGTTGATAAAATGAATACTTGCTAGAAGTTTAGTTTAATTAACTCGAAGTAGGTATCATTTCTGCAGTCTTCTTTGCTATCTTAAACATTTAAACAAATTCGCGTCACTTAAATAATGACAAGTGACTAATGAGATGCTGCCCTCCCTATATACATGAACCAAGAGCATTATTACGTCCATACCAATAATTCAATATTCGGCTCAGCTACCTCCGACAAACGGGTCGGGTTATAAGCTAGTAGCTTTATGCGGGAGAAAGAAATAATGACTCCAAGATTAATTGATTGATAAATCATGGTCGGTTGGTCGGTCACTTGTCCGACTATTTTAATTTTTTTTTACATACCTGTTACAAGGTGCTATTAGGTAGGAGTGAGCACTGGGTGGTTGAACCCATGAATTCACCCAAATCCACCCGCAATTGACCCACCCATTATCATGTGGTGGTTCCTATTGGTGGGTGTGGACTGTAAAAAGGTGACCCGCAAAAGGTTGGGTGGGTGTGGGTGGACTGTGGTTGACCCACGACCCCACCCAACTATTTAAACTCCAACCATCGAAACTCTAATATATAGCTTTACCGAAAATGAAATCCTTATAATCACAAAAATTTCTCTCAATTTTGCTCAAAGGATTGTTGTGAGGTGTGCTTAGGCAGTTGGAGGTACGCTTGAGCATAACCAGTACACAAAATGGCAGAAAAAGATAATTGTCTCCCCAAAATGACACCGTGTCAAACTACCACCGATTCATCCTTCATTCTTTTCATCAATTCTGAATTGTAATTTATGACTATAGGTTGATAAGCTATTTACGCTCACAACACCTAGGTGAATGAGGCTCTAGGCAAGATCAAAATGTTTGTGTTAGCCCCTAATAAAAAATGTTTGCCTTATGCTTAGTGCCTTCTTAACCATTGGGTATTATCAAGTTTAGACCATGTTTATTAGTTGAATATTTTGTAATTTATGGACAATTACCAATACCAATATTATAAATAAATGATTCACCTGATTTATGGATTAAGAGTTATTTAATTTGAATTTTTTTTTCATTTTGAGTTAAAAACTATTGAAATTATGTGAACATATGACATTTATGTTGTAAACCCACCGAACTCATCCAATCACCCAACCCACCCACATATAATGTGGGTGAGTGTGGGTCATTTTCTCCTTGACCCACCACTTAGTGGGTGGTAAATACCAGTGCTGTCAAAACCGAGCCGAGCCGGCCGGTCGGACCGGTAAAACCGTCACCCGACCACCAGCCCGGCTCGGTACACTCAATTAACCGCAGCGGCTGGGAAGGTCGGTTTTTGACCGGTCGGAGCGGTTAATCGTTCGAGCCGCTCGAACCGCCCGACCGGTTTTTAACACATGAACCGTCCGACGCGAAGGTAGCACCGCAGCAGCTCTCATTGTCAGCTTCGGTGAGATGCTGATCGACTTCGTCCCCACCGTTTTCGGAGTCTCCCTCGCCGAGGCTCCCGGCTTCCTCAAGGCCCCTGGCGGCGCCCCCGCCAACGTCGCGATCGCGGTCTCCAGGCTTGGCGGCAAGGCCGCTTTCGTCGGGAAGCTCGGCGACGACGAGTTCGGGCGCATGCTAGTCGGGATCTTGAAGGAGAACGGCGTGATCGGGGATGGAATCAACTTCGACAAGGGGGCCAGGACTGCTCTGGCGTTCGTCACTCTGAAGGCCGACGGCGATCGCGAGTTCATGTTCTACCGGAATTCCAGCGCCGACATGCTCCTGCAACCGGAGGAGCTCAATCTCGAGCTCATTAGATCTGTAAGAAGAAGAAGGAAAGGGAAAGGGGGAAGAATGGGGCGGCGGTAGCAGGGAATGAGGAAGGAAAGGGAAAAGGGGATGAGTGGGGCGGCGGTAGCAGGGAATGGGGTAGGGTTTTGTGGGTAAATATATAAAATGTAAAATTACTAATTGGTATATGAAGGGTAAATTTCATTTTAGCCATTAAATTACTATTTTATATATCATCTATATATGATATTATCATTTATAAGGTACCTGTTCTCTAACGGTTTTTTAACGGTCTAATAGCGGTTAGACCACTAAAGTGCGAGCTGTTCCCGTTACCGGGTCAAACTCCGGTTCGGTTTTGACAGCATTGGTAAATACCGTCCATTTAAGAGTGATACCAAATTTTACAAGAGAAAAGAAATAAAAAAAAATTACAAGAGACAGAATAGAAACCATGATTGTGATAATAAAAAAAAAAAACAAGTTATGTCAAAACAAACCCTAACTCAAATAACTCAGAGCATAGGATTTTCAACTTTTTTTTTTTTAAATCCTGGCTCCGCCACTATCGTCGTTCATTCGCAGTTAAACTTCCAGGCAGTAACAGAATGAATGGGCGTCCCCTTCCACCCAACAATCAAGCTCTTCCCGTCCACGCCAATCGTGCAATGCCTCCAACAGGTAAACTTCTTGGTAACGAGCTCCGCCTGGTACAGGCAAGACAGGCTCAGATCCGCCTCTTCCATTCCGAACCTCCTGAAATAAGCCCTCCACACCTCCATCTTCACGCTCCTGAACGCCCTCTCCTCCCCTTCCGCCGCGACGATGATCCTGCTCCCTTCCCCGAACACCGTCAGCTCCACGAACCGCCGGTGTGGGCTGTCCCGGTCCATGCAGGCCTCCAGGCAGTCGAAGTAGGCGCTCGCGTAGAACAGCGACTCGACGAACCGGTTGATCAGGACGGGCGAGTTGTGGTTCGATTCGACCTCGGTCACCACCATGACGCAAGGGTTCAGGGTCGCGATCGTCTTCATCACGCGGTCCAGCTTGTCCGAGTGCGCGACCAGAGTGGTGAGGAGGTACTCCGACAGGACGGCGACCGTCTCGCCGGGCTCCACCGCCAGCGTGTCCTCCTTGAGGTCGGCGAAGTCGTCCAGCATGACCAGGTTGAATGAGAATGACAATGCCATTGTCCTTGCAAAGTCGACCAACCTGGTTTAGGTTAGACCATATACGTTATTACTTAGATTGTAGTATTACCAAAAACATGTAGAGCACAAGGGAATGAATGATATGTGTACATATTAATAATTAGGGGAATGAGACATGTTATCAGGTTTCAAAGAAAGACTCCGAACTTCAAACTCTCCGACTAGGTACGAACAATCTTGAACGAAAAAACAGCTAGTACAACGTTTGAGTTCTCACTCTCGGGACAGGTTACGGTGATTACTAAGTGGTTACTAAGGGTAGATTGGGTATGACAATAAATTTGTTAATTATCTTTTTTAATAAATTATATTTTAGGAAATTACAAAATTATATTAACTATAATTTTCTCTCTCTTTCTCTCACTTCCACAATCTTCAGCCAGATGCCTCTTCCTTCTTTTTCTCAATCTTTCCATTGATTTAGTTCTGTCAAACTAATACAGCTGCAACAATAAAACAATATCAATCCATTACAAAACACTACCATTGCACAAAACACTCATATCATTCGAGAAATAAAAACACTACAATTTCACAAAAACACCAATACCAATGCGACAAAAACAATACCAATGCGACAAAAATAATACCATTGCGACAAAATCAATACCAATGCGATAAAAACAATACCATTGCGACAATAATAATACCATTGCAAAACACTACCATTGCACATAACACCAATACCATTCGAGAAATGAAAACACTACCATTTCACAAAAACATCAATACCAATGCGACAAAAACAATACCAATGCGACAAAATCAATACCAATGCGATAAAAACAATACCATTGCAACAAAATAATACCAATGCTACAAAAACAATACCATTGCGTCAATAATAATACCACTGCAACAAAATCAATACGATAAAAATAATACCATTACGACAAAAATAATACCAATGCGATAAAATCAACACCAAAACAAAGCAATACAAAAAAAAAATATACCAATCCCCCAACAATACATACCAATCCCCAACTGGCACAAGCACGAAAGATTGGCTGGAGAAAATATATAGAGAGAGAGGGGGGATCAGGAGGTTTGGAGAGAGAGGGAGGGGGAAGGCTGGCCTAGGCCGGCATCAGAGAGAGAGAGAGAGAGAGAGAGAGAGAGAGAGAGAGAGAGAGAGAGAGAGAGAGAGAGAGAGAGAGAGAGAGAGAGAGAGAGAGAGAGAGAGAGAGAGAGAGAGAGAGAGAGAGAGAGAGAGAGAGAGAGAGAGGTGGGCGAGGGTTGCCGGAGGGAGGGTGGCTGCCGGCAGTGGGAGGGCAGGATAGGTGTTGATGGCGATGTAAGATAGGGTTGGAGTAGGTTTAGGTATTATATATAGAATTAATTTTTTAAAGGATAGAAATCAAATGTGGTATTTTTTTTATTCTCAAAATTATCCTTAATCTAATCTTCACCGTCAATTTAAAATTAGAATAAAATATAGATAATTAAGAGTCTAGATTTTAATAGCCATGGTGATTACTCAATTTTGAGTAATCATCCTAACGCGTCCCCATCCCTCTCACTCTCTCAAAAACTTTTATCAATATTCCATAATAAAGCGTGCATACCCAGCAAAAGGAAAAAATCGCACTAAGGGGTGGTGGAGGTGGTAAAGACGCAGAATTATATTAAGGATATTATGAGTTCGATTATTGACTCAGCCACTTCTGCGTTATTCATCCTTGATGACCATCGGCAAGACTGTGCGGCCTAATCAAAAAAATTGCACTCGATGCAACCAACACAAACTCTCTTATGACGGAAAAGCAAAACTCTTCTTCTATTATGCTTTAGAAGCGTCTTCCCAATGGACATGCGACACGTGGCTGTTTGACCGATGGTTTACATTTTTTAAGGCAACTCCCGACCGATATTTTTTCTTTGGTAACTTACCCGATTGGTGTTCCGTTGATGGCCATCGGCAAGACTGTGTGACCTAATCAAACACTGTCACAGATGACCGGGTATTTATGTGATTAGGATTTGCTACTATAAAATGGATTTCTCCTTGTTTTGGGGGAAAAAAATTTGGGAAAAAATTGCACTCAATGCAACCAACACAAACTCTCTTATGATCATACTTACTAATATAAGGTTGGCATACATCAGTATAAGTTAAAATGTTTTCCTCATAATTTCAATGTATACTACATGTATGATTACATTTGATTAATGTTGTCAAAGTTTAACTTTTTTTCAAGTAGGACGATATGAAAATCCATGTGTATGTTATGTAGCATCTAGTACACAACTTTTTTTTTTTATGTGATTCCGCATGAATGATATTCATTATTATCAAATGTGTTACGGAAAGAAAATTTGGCACTAGTTTACAGTGTATTTCCATGCAGCAACATACCTCTGGGCAGTCTCTTCCATAACGTCTCTCGACCTGATCCCGACCGCGCTGATCTTCAAATGATCCACCGATTGAACCTCGTCCCTGGAGACCAACGCCTGCATGAAAATGGTCCACTGCTCCCCATTCTTGATATTGAAATCCACGATATGAATCCTCCTCGAACCACACACACTGTCCACCACGGCCTGAATCGCCGCGAACTCCGACACCTGGCCGAACGGCACCTTGTCGTAGAACTCGAGAAAGCACCTCCTGGGGAACATCAGGATCTCCTCCACCTTCTCCGGCCCCGCCAGACTACAGCACTTCTGCTGCTTCCCGGTCTCGCGGTCGGTCTTCTCCCGAAGCGCCCGGCCGAAGTAGTGGACCAGCCGCTGGACCGGGTCGCCCTCGGGGTCAGACCGGAGCTCGCACTCGGTCAGCAGAATGCTTGCCTTATCGTACTGCCCGTCCCCGACTTTTTCGGCCGCGGTCAGGAGGGACTCCGCCAGCTCGACGCTCCTCGCCTCCTCGTCGGACAGGCCGACGGCCGAGGAGAGGTCGTCGAGCGGCGGGTTGTTGTTTGTGTTGTTAGTGTCACTACCGCCGCCCGGTTTCCACGACGATTGGATGAACCTGGCTCCGGCGATTCGGAGGAGATCCTCGGTGGACGGCCTGCCGGAATCTTCCTCCTCCGCCGCCGACTGGATCGTGATGTTGCTGCTGTTGCTGCTGGTAATATTGCTCTGATTTCTGATCGGAGCACCGGATCGCAGGAGGTCGAATAGAGCTGCGGAGGAGGAATGGTCGGGATTCGCGGCGTGGTGGAGGATTGGTGGTGAAGCGTCGTCGTTTAGAAGGAACTGCCTTTGGGTGAAGATTCCGTCGAGCTCGGTGGCGGTTTGGGGGAGGAGCTGATGAGAAACGACGTCGTTGCAGTTGGAGAAGGGGAATTGGCTGTCTTGGTCGGAGAGTTGGAGAAGAGGTGGATCGGGTCGGGTCTGGAGGACCAGCCCGCGAACAAGCTGAATGGGTCGGATTGGCTTCGGTCCTCACCGCCATTGTTGAATGCGTCACCCATTAATTTGGTGTTGGAATGTTTTGTTCCTTAGCTGTAATCGCAGTGTTTATTTCGGGAAAGCAGCCGTCCGTCGCCGCAGCTATTTATGGGTTTGAATGTTTTTTTCCCGGGGGTCATAGTTCAAATGAGCCCCTTAAATTTTTATGTTTTTTTGGATATGGACCTAACAGAGTCTTAATTCGACAAATTGGCGCTCTTTTGGCTCCTAAAAATATGTCGATTTACTTTTGTTTTAAACTTCAAGCAATTACTAACATATTGACTTCGACTGCATGTTATTTTTGAGCAATTGAACATGAGATCTCATTTGAGTATATATATATATATAGTTGGGTTGGGATGTCGTCATTGCGATTATTCTGTTTGCGTAATACACATTTCTAACTCCTTAGACGATACTACTACTAGCACTCTACCTGATATTTCAATGATTGTGGTGTATATATTGGTATCGTTATCGCGATGCGGAAGTACACATAATGAAGGGTCCAGTTAAGGTTGATACTACGTATAACTTCATTCGTCGTACTAAAATACAGTGAACTGAACTTTTGAAGTTATCTTGGCTTGTACATATAAAAGTTTTGCGGATGGATTTGAATATACTATGTAGCTTATGGGACTTCATTTGACCAAACCATGAGAGTTGAAGGGGTCATATACAGTTTCACCATTTCTTTTAGAACCTTGTTTTGCCGTCCAAAATTCCCACTTCTCTACACATGATGTTAAGGATCTTTGACCCCTTGTCCCCAACGATGAGCTCAATGTTTAGTTAGATGATGATAAGAGTTTTTCTTTTCTTTTCTTTTTTATTCCTGTTTATGAATTAGATATATAAATATAATTTTTTTTAGAATAATTAGCTAATGTTTTTTTTTTTTTCAGAACGAATAATTAGATAATGTTACCGCCAAGTAATAGAGAACAGAATTGTGAGCATGCCACATGAGACACGAGCTTAGACAGTGGGCTCCAAGTGTAGGCGAGTTCCCCAATTTCGCATCATAATCAGATGAGTTGTTGTTTTGTGTAGAAAACGATGGATCGAAGCTAAAGTGTACATGATTTTCATTCCTTTGTTAAGTTTTCAGAAGAAAAAGAATAGTATTTATTTCTCGTTTCATATTGAAGAGGCGAGAACAAGTGGTTAACAACATTGGACGTTTCCCAACGAACAAGAGTCCGGACATGTATAATTTTGCTTCTTTATTAATTTCTTAATGAATTATATTCCATTTATCTTAGTTTGACTTTTAGTTTCTTTTATGCAGAAAATTAAATAAATTAAATTCTCATAGATTATATTCATTTTGATATATTTTAATAGAAACGTTTATGTAACATCATAGAAGAGTTAGGGTGCTAATACTTAATTTGTTAGTGTTTGAACCTAGCTGGGTGTAGGAGGTAAGTTCAAGGAAGAAAGTGAGTCAAGCAGAATAAACGGAGGGTGATCAATGATCTCCTGTTGGATATGAATCAGAGAGAATGGAGTTGGGAGAACTGATGGTTTTTAGAGAGAGAAGTCGATGTTGTTGAGATAGAATGTCGTAGAATCGATCCCCTTCACCCACCGTAGTAAATGCCACATTTATAGGCTACATGATGGTGGGTGAGTGGTTGGGTTACATGAGGGTACAATGATGTGACTACTGACACGCAGGGGATTTAGGTCATGCCTCTACCTAGGACATGTCAGAGACTTATCTAGGACTGTGCTTAGGACCTTGATGTGACTACTCCTCGGGGAGTGCAACGACGCTTTCAACATCTCTTTGGTTTGGTCTACGCTTTGACCTTCTCGCGTGCTCGTAGCCGTGACGCGCTCAAGGGTTTCGCGCCGGGGAATGCTGAGGTGACGCGCTCAAAGGACTCGCGTTGATCCGCGCTGGGGCTCTTCGTGGTGAGGCGCGCTGGGTGTCTTTGGTGGCGGCGCGTTCTCCTGGCGCGGCTAGGTCCGAGTCACATGCCCAACAATTGCCCCCCATCAGGGGGTGTTCTGTGAATACCGCATGTTCAGGTTTCCGCTTGATTGACTCGGGACCGCGCGATCTCCATGGGATTCTTCGCGCTTGTTGCGTGCGTCGTTTGGGCTACGCGCGACGCTTGCGCTTGATGCTATACTGACCGCGTGTTTGTTTCGTTTTCTTGTCTTCCTCGCGGGTGTGTCATGCGCGCTACTTCTAAGCTGAGAACAAGTCGTGCCGAATATCGCGCGCGCCGCTTATGGTTGAAGTTGTACTGACTGCGTGATTGTTTTGTTTTTTCTTGCGCGCGACTGGATTTGGGCTTGGGGTGTGTTTTTTCTTCCTCGCGGGTGTGTCATGCCCCCCAGGCGGTGCGCTACTTCTAAGCTGGGAACGAGTCGTGCCGAATGTCGCGCGCGGCGCTTATGGTTGAAGTTGTACTGACTGCGTGATTGTTTTGTTTTTTCTTGCGCGCGACTGGAGTTGGGCTTGGGGTGTGTTTTTTCTTCCTCGCAGGTGTGTCATGTCCCCCAGGCGGTGCGCGGCACTTGTGGCGTCATCGACTATTGCTTATGATGGTATGTGTCCACGTGTAACTGTGTGAATGGGCTACTTGGGCGGGGATTTTTGAATTTCGAAAAGATTTTGTAGGATCTGACGGTTACATATCCCTCTGTAACTTTAACCTTTCGTTTTCCCCTGGCCGCCTTTGACCCTTCGTTTTCCCCTGGGACACTATAAATACGAGGCTGCTGTGGTGGAATTGGAACTCATTTGTTCTTTCTACTCTGTTGCCTGTTTCTCCGATCATCTTTTCTCAGAGATTCCTCTCCTTCTTTTACAACCTCAATCCTCTTTTTGCTGTTGCTAAAGCTCGATATATTGCTATGGCTTGCATCAACGTCGACGAGGACGAGGTCGTGCGAGGCGAAGAAGGTAATCTCTCCCCTCTTTCGAACACTTCTACTGGTCGTTCCGGCGATGGGAACGGCGGCTCTGGTGATGGCGGTGGTGGCGATGGCGATGGGGTTCCGGCCACACCGTCGTTCGACGGCGAGTCAGAGAATGAACTCGGCGGTTCTTCTGATATGGGTTTGGTTGCCTCCGGGAGTGGGCAGGCGGGGCAGGGAGGTCGGGGAGTGTTGATAATCCGACGAGATCATGACAGTAGGCCCGAGGTTGTCCCCGATGAAGCGCGCGAAGAATCTGGTGCGCAATCCGAGGCGCACGACGTTGGGCGCGTCTCCGAGGCCATGGCCCGGCTAGGGTTACGCGGGGTTGGCGCCGCATACAGGGTTATCGAGTGGGCCGAGATGTGGGGCGATCAACCGGCGCCCCATGACAACCTCAAGCGCGGGCCCGAGCACGCCTCCATTTACGACGTTGATGACGTGGCGGAGATCGTCCGCGGATTGGGCTTGCCTCTTCATTGGGAGTACGCTGCTCCGTCTACGCGCAGCATGGTGGGCAATTGCCCCCCAGGGTGGTTTGGCGTTTATACGGAGTATTGAGTGATGGGGTTCAAGTTCCCCATCGACCCGCTTTATGCGCTCTGTATAAGCGCCTTAACTGCTCTGTTGGGCGGCTTTCGCCGTCCGTCATCATGCACGCGAGCTGTCTTCGCCTCGCGTGCAAAAGGCTTAACATTCAACCAACCTACGACCCGTTCCGGAAGATCTATAAGATCAAGGAGCCAACGTCAAGGAGCGACTGTCTCTCCATCAAGCGTCGCGACAACAGCCCCTAAGGCTTCGTATATGGATCGCCCAAGTTGAAGAAAACTTGGTTCGAGCGGTTTTTTTATGTCAGGCCCACTCCCGGAGAATGGGTTAGTGAGTCGATGGATGAGCCAACTGCCTGGAAGAAGGGGAGTACGTCTGGGTACGAGGCAGATGTCGGCGACTATGATGGGCTCAACGACGAATACGAGGCGTGCATGCCTCATCGGATTAATCTATACGCGGGGGGAGTCCGCGAGGCTTGTTTGGAGGAGCTGTTTGGCGATGGTTAGTTACATTTATTTTCGTTTGTATTCTATCATATTAACCGCTTTCTTACGATTTATTGGCGCAGGCGTTGATTTCTCCACCCTCGTCAGCATGATGTCGGTTGACGACGTCGTGAAGGCGCCGTGCGCCGACAAGAAGAAGAAGAAGGCTGGAGGCGCGAGGACCTCGAAGCGGAAGGAGATCGAGCAACCGCAGGCCGCTGAAAGGCCTCACAAGGCGGCCCGTTTGGCGGAATCGGCTGCGCGGGCGGCACAGACTAAACAAGCGGCACAACCGTCGTCGGCGGTGCGACAGTTATCTCTGGCGCTTTCGGAGCCAGAGGCGCCAGTGACTAGGTCGTCTCGACCTGAGAGAGAAGTGGCTGGCAGCTCGTCGGGGGCAACCATCCAACAAAGGTTGCCCGAGATGGCTGGGTTTGTGGGGACCCCTACCGCTACTGCAATGTGCGGATTCACACCGGGGCGGCATGTAATTTGGCGTCTGCAAACACTGCCCTTCGGGCGCTCGGGTCCGTCCTCAGCATTCCACCGCGATTGGAGAAGTCCGATCCTCTTCATGACCTGGCTCAGGTCCATTTCGCGGTAAGATCGGGTCGAGTTCTCGCTTAGTTTGGAGTTATCTTCTCATTGTCTTTCTTTTTCATTTTCATGCTATTTGCTAAGGCTCTTGGCGTTGTGGTTGTAGGGTTTGTTGGCAACCTTTCGAGCTCAACAAGAGCGCGCCTCGCAGCGCGCTAAGATGAAGGCCAACGAGGCACAGATCGTCCAGCTGGAAGGGAAGGTCCTCGGGGCGAACAATCGTGCCGACTTGGCGACGACCAAAGCCAACGAGGCAATGGAGGAGCTCGGCGTTTTGCAGAGCAAGTTAGCCGCCGATGTGGAGGCGGCTAAGGAGCAAGTGCGAACCGAAGAGCGCTCCACCATCCGAGA